CCCTCGTGACCTCGTACTGGAAGTGGACGATGTGCGGTTGTCCATCGTTCACGGGAGGTCCTGGTCACAGTGAGCTTCTGGCCCTTAGTTATTAGAGCTGAGAGAGAAGGATCCCTGCCGCCCCTCGCCCAGCGGGGATCGTCCTCAGTGGGTGAAGGGCACCAGGAGCACCACAGAGGCCCCGGAACAATGTGCCTGCAGCACTGGAGCTGGGTAAGAATACAGGGCAAGACCCAAAGTGTAAGAGAACACTTACTGGGTTAATTACAGAGGTAGGAGAAGTTATTCTTGGAAGAAATGGGCTTAGGAAAGGAGTTAAGGGGGTAACAGAAGTGCCCTTGAAGCTTGGGAGTGCAAGATAATGGTAACCTGCCTGGGGCAGGAGGAGAAGGAGGAGAAGGGAAAGGTATAGATGTGCTCCAGGGAGGGAGAGCGCACTGGGTCCTCCTTCCTATAGGTTTTAAGGGTGGAGATTTCAGGGGAGGTCTCAGGGGAAGAGCTGAACGGAATATTCTGTAGCTTCCAGGTATGTCCATTCCGGGATGTGGCCTCCACTAATGGATTGGCCGGCACCAGGGCAGGGGTCATTATTCAATGCAGCTGGTCCTGATGTCAGCCCTGGCATTTTGTTGCTTATCTGGGCCTGGAGCTGAAATACAATGAGGCATAGATGTTATCTCTAGGGAGGAAGATCAGGGGGTCCAAACCGCAGGACCAGAGATCTGCTAGAGGAGGAAAAGTCACCCTGGGGACCAGGCCCCACCCTACAATTGGTTGCCCATTGCTGGACTCCTGGGCTTCCCACCCTGGTGACCTCTGTGCCTGGCCCATCTCCTTGCTCTGGGTAGGTCTGTGGAACTGCCCACAAGACAACCACAGTAAGGGGTGGCTCATGGCCTCAGAGGAGCGTGACTGAATCACCAGTGGGAACACATTTTTTCATGTGAAACACATTTTCTAAAGTTAACCATTCTAAATATGCAGACATCACTTTTCACGCTGGAAATCATGGCTTGTTTCTGATTTCAATGCTCTTGTTGGGAATCTGACTGTAGTTCTGGGAGGATAACACCCATATGGCAGGGGTGGGCAACCCCTGGCACGCGTGCCAAACATGGCATGTCAGTAACTTTTGCTGGCACGCGAAACCCTCTCTTATAATCTTCCATTTACAATTTTTGTGAACATTTGAATGACTTAAATGTTAAATTTCAAGGAACTGGTAAGACTTGATGTTATATTTGGTTACATAAAGGCTTTTGAAAAGAAACTGGAAGTCTTTAAGAAGGATGTAGATGGTGAGGGATTTAGATATTTCCCAAACCTCAAGAAGCACATCAAAGACCCCCCCAAAAGATGACAGAACAGACTGTCAAAGCCTTCAAAAGCTGTTTTTAAACATCAGCAAGTCAACTGTTGAGCAGTTCTTCTCAAGGTTTGCAAAATTCAGAGTACTGGAAGAGACAGCAAAATTCATGAGGTTTCCAGACAGCATGAAACTGGAGGAACTAAACTTACAAATGTTTTCATGGATAGATAGACATGGCTGACTTTGAAATGCAGTTGATTGAATTTCAGAGTAGCTAAATTTGGAAGCAGAAATTTATTGACCTTAGAGTTGACTTGGAAAACATTGGGGAAAAAAAGCGATTAGAGACAGGAGTACCAGAGAGCTGTGTCAAAAACGAACTATTGAGGACTTGGAATGCCATTCCAGAAAATTTTTTCTGTTTAAAAAACTTTGCAACAGCGTTACTCTCCATGTTTTCATCCACATACGCCTGTGAATCTTTGTTCTCAGTGATGAATTTTGTTAAGTCTCGTAACAGGAGGAGCCTGGCGGATGAAAGTAGTAGCTCGTGCATATCTCTGAAGGTCATGAAATATAAATCTGATGTAAAATCTGTCATCAGTGATGCAGCAGCAAAAGTCCCACTGATAATATCAAACGGAGTCATAAAGTTTTCTGTCGGACTATCAGTGTACATGGATACATTAAAAAATAAATGTATTTTTCATCATCATATACTGTGTTTTTGTCGCTTGAATGAATTTTATTATTTCTTCAAGGTTCTTCACATACTACACCTTAAGAGATATCAAGTAGGCGTAACATGTTCTCAAAAAATTAGGGTTGGCATGCAGAAGAATTTTGAGTCGGAGATTTCGCTGGTTTTGGCAGGCACTCACAAAAAGGTTGCCCACCCCTGCCCTAAGGCATCCCTGGTACCTGAGCCTATGCACCTTTTTGCAAATCCACACGTCAGACTCCAGGTGTCAACAAAGATCAAAATGGAGCCAGATTCCTTAGGTGCCTTTTCAGTGTGTGTGTTTGCAAGGAAGGACCACTGTTCCCTGGGGACTCTCAGCGCTGCCTCTCAGTGCAAACGTCCCTGGACAGGAGATCTGGCTGCTTTGGGCTCAGACCTGTGCACCTCAGGCGCTAGGGGGCGATGTCGTGACAAGTGTCTGTCCTTTCGGGAGCTGTGCGCCAGGTGGGTGGGGCTATTGGGGGTCAGGTGGGTGGGGCTACGCTCTGCTATGCGGAAGTTCACTCACGTCGCCTCTTCCTTGCACTTCCGCCATTGGTCCATCTGCGATCCGTAAGGTGGTGGGAGCTGCAGGCGGGACTCGGGAGGCCCAGGAACCAGAAATGGTGAGTGTGCGGCCGGGCGCCGGGACGGG